TTGAGTCAATTCTGACTCATAGTGATCCCACAGGACAGAGTGGAACTGCGGCTGCGGGTTTCAGAGACAAGCTATGAGTAGCAGCAAATGAATTCCAAATGCTTAGTGTGTTGATTCACTACTAATAAAGGTTTATTTCATAGTCAGGTGATATTTTATGTAGGTAAGACAGCTCTCCTTCATTTTGGGACCCGGGACCTCCATTGGGCAACAGATAGCCTCCAAGAGATTAATAAAGGAGACACGACAACTCTTACTTTCCTCGGCAGGACTGACATACATCCTGTTCACTTACATTGTACAGAGTGGAACTGCAAGGGAGAGTGGGAGATCCAGAGAACAGTGTGGATAGGTGGTGAACCCTAGTCATTTCTGCTATGGAGCCCTGGTGGCACCAGAGTTAAGCGCTTGCCTGCGATTGGAAATATTGATCCTTCAAACCTATGGTTCAACCCACTGGTGACTCCACAGGAGAAAGACTGTGATCTGCTTCCTCGATGCAGGGGATGTCAGATGAAATACGTGGGTGTCAGGTTAAGAACAAACAAAAAAGTTTGACATAGTAAGTCAATTCCTGTTCATAGGACAGAGGAGAACTGCCCCATAGAGTTTCCAGGCTTTATGGAAGCGTACTTCCTCTTCTTTAGTCTCTTGCAAAGCAGCCAGGTTTGAACCGCCAACTTGCTAGAAGCTACACACGTTTCCATAATGATTACAGCCTAGGAAATGCTGCCTGACAATTCACCTCTGTCACACAAGATCGCGGCGTGTTGGAATTTATGTGGTAGCACCTAAAACAATGAACCACAACGGAGAGTCTTCCTGAATGCGTTTTGTGTGTTGGTATGTCATTATGTACTTGTGGAATGGTCTCCAGATGGCCAAACATGTTATTAGAATTGTACATGTGAGAGCCTACTATAGCTTTACCATCACAGACTTCACCACTTTGAATTAAACGCTTTCCATATTTTTTCTTTACAACCTATTTAGGATTTGGGATTTTTTTTGTTTTTCTAGAAAACTATCCTTAATGTAACAGATCCATTTGGAATGTAAATAGTCGTATTTGCCTAATGTGTCAGAATGTTAGAGGGCCTAATGGAGCATCATGCTTCCCAGAGAGTGGGTGCTTGGCGGGTGTGGATGGAATGGAATTGAATGTACCTGACTGCCACGAAACTATTTAAATATAAGGGACGTTGGCTCAGATTTTTCCATCCTGTTCCAGTTGAAGGATTTTCTGGTTGAAGCATGCCTTGTAAACATGATTGGAGTCAGACCTGAAAACAAACAAACATGCAACCCAAAATGCCCAGCCTGGCAAGCTGGTCTTGTCCATTGCCCTCCCGTTGTTGCTCGGTCTCACGTCGTATTTGGCCCTTCACGTGACCGTAGCCCAGCTTCTCCTACAGAGGCTGCAGAGCGGTCTACTGAGCTCAAATGCAGACTTTGCATTGGTTTCCTCCAGGATAATTGCTTGCAGTTTCAAATGAACGTATTTTAAGTAGCTGGAATCCCCGGGCAACACTGATTCAGGTGACTGCTCTAACTAGCCCAGTGGTTCTCAACCTTCTTAATGCCATGACCCTTTAATACAGTTCCTCGTGTTATGGTGACCCCCCAACCATAAAATTATTTTCGTTGCTACTTCATAACTGTAATTTTGCAACTGTTATGATTCAGGCGACCCCTGTGAAAGGGTTGTTTGATCCCCAAAAAGGTCGCGACCCACAGGTCGAGAACTAGACTGTGAGGGCGAGGTCTGAGTGTGTTCATATCTATGTGCCTGTGCATGTGTGCGTGTGACTCATTGTTAGAATAGTTTTATTGACATACACTTCATATATCACAAAATTTCATCCATTGATCATATTAAGAAGGGTTGTGCAGCCATCACCACAATCAATTTGAGACCATTTTCTCCTCATACTCATGGTTGTTAGCTCCCCCCTTCCCCCCGTCCTCCCCTGCTGTGCCCCCAGGTAATTATTAATCCCGGTTAATGTCCCTGTAAATTTACCTATCCTGGATTTCATATACAGAAAACCATACAAAACATAAACAGGAAGCAAACCATAAGAGAAATACCCAACAACAATGACTAGAGAAAACATAGAAAAACCTCAATTTAAAAAAAGAAAGCAGAAGATATTAAACACTGATATAACCTCTAGCCTAGTTATATCTGTCGTAATTGATTTTACAGAGCTTTCTGGCTGATAGCGAGGCTATTCCCATCCCTGGACTGTGGTCAGAGGGGATTCACCAGAGGCTTATTCAGACGGGGACCCCACAGATAGATTTTGGGTTTCTTGTGTCATCCATAGCGTGCTGCAAACCGGGTGTTCACAGTTTAAGCTCTGATACCATTCCCTCCTTCAGATTTGCATTTTATTAGTCACAGTCCTCCGATCACACAGGTTAGTGTGTTTCTTGCCCCTCCATGTCCAAGAAGAAATAAAAAATAATATGTGTTGTCTCCCATTCCCGGGCTGATTACAAGCATTGACTTTGAGGAGAAGCTGAGGTGGCAGTAGGATCCTCAGCCCCGTGACTCCAAACAGGGACAGAAGCTCCATGAGGAGGCAGACACAGGGCATCCTAGTGGTCAGGGCACCTAAGCTTGCTCTTGTAAGAACGAGTTTACTTTTGGGGGGCGTCTTATTTTTATTTGACTTAATTGATAAACAAATACATGAGGACTATTGTGAAACCACTGGCAATATAATAAACTTCCCTGTTCATTCCAACTGTCCTCATTTTTCTATAGAACTAGTTTATTTCTTGTCAGGCTGAAAGCTCGCCTGTGATTAAGAACCAAACCAAAATGGTTTCATTTGTGGGTGCTTCTTAGGACCTTCAGGGGAGAGTCGACCTGGCAACCCTGGACGCCCTGGCTCCCCGGGACCAAGGGGTCCACCAGGACACCTGGGGGTGCCTGGACCACAAGGTCCTTCTGGCCAGCCTGGATACTGCGACCCCTCTTCTTGTTCTGCCTATGGCGTGGGAGGTGAGTACCAACTTCTTGGGGGCTTTGAGTGGTTTTGGGGGTTTATTTTTTACCATGGTGAATGCTATCATGGGAAAGGATGTGATGAAAGGCAGGCAGCTTGTGGGAGGGAAGCTGAACGTAAGCTGCTCATGCCCTCCATGACCCAGAGCATCTTCTACCAGGTGCGGATTACTGGAGAGGCGACCTTAAGAGGCATTATCCATAATAGCACATGGCTCTTCCTTGTTCCCAAAGGATGATCCACACGGGCTAGGCCTCCATTCTATAGTCACTGGGGGACACAAATGAGCATTCTGATGGGCCCCCGTTCGCTGAGATGATCGTGGCGTGGCTGTGCTTTCCTGTAATCACAGTGCTATTGTGGGGCAACCTCAAATCTAGAACTCCCCTCAGAATGAGCAGGGTCCCCTAGAGTCCTTTTGGTGACATTCTGCTGCCCCATGCATTGTGGGTGACCGGGAATAATCTTAAGAAGACACCGAAGTGACCGTATTGCCCTTGCCTCATCACTAGTGACTGGACTGAGTTGGAAAAGTAGACGAAGAGTCTGAAAAAAGCATACTTTTAATAAACATCTACATTCTGCCTGTTGTTACAAGGCTGGCATGCGGGGTGATGGGGCATTTCCTGTCATGACCACTCTTGCAGGCATCCAGAGAGGTTCAAAGAGTGCTGTGTGGCAAGGGACCTATCAGTGTCTGAATTTATATTCAGCCTCAGTTGACTGGTCAAAGTTTTGCTGATGTGTTTTTCTCTGTTCATCTTTTCCCTCCCTGTTCTCTCAACTCCCCTCTGTTCCTTGTGAAGATCTGATCCCTTACAATGATTACCAGCACTGAAGTGGAAATCTTCCACTCAGCTTTGGCTGTGGATACAGACCTATCCTGTTGACCGCCACCACCAAGCCCCTGCCCCTAAAAACGGCCACTTCTCTTCCCTGCCTCACCCGCTTCCCTGCCTGCCCAATTCCACCTCTCTTATCCTTTCTGCTTCCAACATGACGCAGTGATAATATCAAGTCTTCATCCAATTCAACAGAACTCACTGCTCCACATCAGCCTGAGTTAGATCCCAGCCATTTATCCCCAACTCCCCAGTAATCGAGTTACTTAAATTCACCTTCTCTTCTTCACCACCCCCACACAAAATTCCTGGCCACCTTGCTCCCTCATCACCCTTTCCCCTCACCTCTTAACCCCCCCATTCTTCCCCTCGCCCCCTCCCTGCTCACGCTCCCATGATAATGAACTTCTAAAATGCGATCTCTTTTCAAATCTTATTTTTCTTTCCAAATTTCCTTTGTAAATAAAAGATGTAATATTTAAGCAGTTGGCTGTGATTCTACTCTCTTAACAGTTTTAGTGATGTATCCGTCTCTTCTTCCTGTTACTAACCTTCTGGGAATGGTGGAAGTGGCATCGTGGTGGGGGACGGTAGACATTGGCTCTCTACCTAAGCAGGGTCTCTCTGTGGTCTAGGGACCAAATCCATGTCTGTCGGGACCCATTTAAGTGGAGAATATCCACTTAAGATCAACCTGGGTTCTATCAAGTCCCCTCCCCGACTCTTCCCTTCCAGCTTCCCATCCTGATCAGCCAGAATTCACTCCTGTCCAAGATGAAATGGAAGCCAGGGAACTGTGGGGCCCTGAGAGCTGATGGATGCAGCAGCAGTTTGAGGATCAACGACAAGATAGCTGAGGGAACCGTATTCCAGAAGAATGTTGTTGCCTGGTTTGTATACTACCACTGGGGGCCCGTTTCAGCAGCCCAGGTCTCCTCCTTAAAAAAAAAAATACCATTTTTACCATGTGAAAAAAAAAATCCCTTTGTCATACCACAACATTTGCTTCCCTTTGCAGTTTTTAATAAAATACCAGATGGTCTGAATTTTCAGAGAAGAGTAATTGGAAATAAAACCTTGAATCCTGGAATCTTTTATCTACTCAGTGTTCTCAAGACCCCACGTGGCAGCGAGCTAGGTAGTGAGAGTCGGGAAAAAGGGGCCCCGAGGGAAAAGGATTTCAAGATTTGACCATTCACTCCTGTCTCCTATGGAAATGACCTTGCCGATCAGAAAAGGACAGTATTGGAGAAACTACCTCTTGCTTAATTGATCTGTTCAACTCTGCTTGGTAATTGAAATGAATCACTAGAGTACAAGAAGAACTGTCAAAATTTGGTGATTTTTAAAAAAGTAGGTTTACTGTTGCAGCGTTTTCATAGCTCTTATGAGACAGCAATTTTCACCAGCTAATGTTGCAAAGCGATCACACTCTGGATGATGATTTATCTTGTGGTATGCTCCGGGGCTCCTCTTATCTGCATGGGTGACTGTGTACATGCAGATAAGTTATTGCTGCCCTTGTTCCCTTCTGTGTGTTTATGCAAATAAAAATTTAAAACAATGTCTTTGGTTCTTTTTTGCTATATCTCTAAATAATACGACCTTAAACTTTATCCTTTTCAGCTAAGTGGCTGTATGAAAAGCAACATTTGCCTTCACGTATGCAAGCATTCAAATATCCATTCAATTCTTCTTTTATTCATTCATTCTGAGTGGAGTAGAGAGCTCAATAGGAGTCGCTGTTGACCTATATATAAGTTGCCCCCCAATTGTATTCTTTTTAACTCCAAACCCAGTTGCCATTGAGTTGATCCTGACGCCTGGTGATCCCATGTTTGTCAGAGTATATTGTGTGTTCTTTTTTTTTTCTTCATCCCGCCCGCTCCGTCCAACCACCGCGGCCACACCTATTGTGTGTTCTATATCACGTTTTCAGCGGCTGAATTTTCAGACTTTTCTTCCAAGGTGCCTCAGGTTGACCTTGAACTTCCATCCTTTCAGTTAGCAGTGAAGCACATTTCCATGTACACTACCCACAGCCTCTATTTAGAGCCCATGAGGCAGCAAAGGGAGTGTCGATAGATGACCGGGCTTGAGAACAAGTGTTTGCTGGCCAAGGAGTTCATCTACCACTACCACTGAGAAAAGCCTGAGACGTTCTAGAAGACAGAGAAGAGGTGAGGCTGCGCTTACATAAAGGACTCTAATCCTTCATAGCAATTTGTCTTTGGCTCTCACAGGTAAACTCTTGCCATCTGGGAAGGTTTTAGGTTCTTTTATTTGCTTGTTGAAAAGAGGACCAGACACTTCGGTTCCCTTTCCTCTGCAACATCTCCCAAGTAATAGCTAGTTTTAAGACGTAGAGATGAGATCATTTATAAACAAGCTAGACTCTTCCCAGACCAAGAAACAGCTGGTGTTTGATCATAAAGTTCTTCGGTCCACTGGCCTCCAGAGGACTCTGTGACCTTCCCTTTCACATACATCTGGTTTAAAAACCCTCCACAGAAAGAATTCAGATAATAAAGTCTACTTGTGTGCCTTTGGCTATCTTTCCAAATAGTTTGGTGGTCCTTTGCAGGAGGTCAAAGAGGGCAGCCAGTGGATAGTCAACAGCGATTCCCTTGTGCTGAAGCATCTGGAGAATGCAGTCTGGTGAGGAGGCACACACGCACCAGGTCAATCAAAACCGCCCAGCCTGGGAATCAACTCTCCAAGTTCATTATGAACGAGGAAGCATGAACCACATGAGGTTCCGATCCTTTCCCACCAAAATGCGCTTGGCTCTGATGCTCTTGGTGTCTCAGTTATCTAGTGGTGCTGTAATCGAAACACCACACGTGAGGGACTGTAACAAGGTGAAGTGCATTTCCTCACAGTGCAGGCTAGACGTTCAGACCCAGGGTGGCAGCGCTAGGGGAAGGCTCTCTCTCTGTGTTGGAGGAAGGTCCTCATCTCGTCTGAGCTTCTGTTTCTGGGGGAATCTTCATGTAGTGACATCTCTCTTCCCCCATTTCTGCCTTCTAGCTTGCTCATTTAATCTCTTTTACATTTCAAAACCGATGGGCTCAATACACACCGTACACTCATCCTGCTTCATTAACCCAAGAAAGACGGATTAGAACCGCGTGCACAGAGGTTAGCATTTGCCAGGCATGATGTTGAGAGCAGAATCCCATCTCTAACACAGGTGCTCCATCTGCGTGTCAGCTCTGAACATTTCTTTCGTTTAGGGTGTGTCCTCCCTTGGACTCGATGGTCGTGGGTTTGGAGTTTGGTTGGTTTGCTGTGGTCGCTGGGTACCAGGATCTGTGTTAGCACTGAAGAGAAAGCTGTCCACAAGAGGAGGGTCGGTGGGCTCTGCCTCCTGCGGGTTTCCCCTCTAGTGCTGGGGGAAGTCTGGAGACGAGGGAGGGAGCCATATTCATTACGGATTGGGCTGTGTCTGAAAGGAACTGTCAAGATCCTGAGACAGAATGACAAAATTGGATGTAATGGAGGAAGCCTGTGCTGTGGAATCAATCAGTGACCAGAGGTGGCCCCAGGGGGTGGCATTTAAGCTGAGACTTAAAGAGAAGGTATGGGTAGAGAATTCCAAGCCAGGGCTTGTCCAGGACAAAGCCCCTTTGTCAGGGAGGAGTGGTCAGGTTCAGGGAATAAAGAGCGAGCCAGAGTGACTGTGGAGTGCAAGGAGAGGGAACAAGATAAGATCGGAGACAAAGCCAGCAGGGCGGCAGGCACCAGGTTGGTGATTTGGATTTTCTTTTATTTTCATGTTAGTGGGAGGCGATAACGGAGTTTTCGGCACAAGAACGAGGCTTTATGTCAGTCAGTGAAATTTTTCTTCCAGCCAGCCACCTGGGCATCTGTTTGGAAGCCATCCTTGAGCAGCTATTCTAGGCCAGCCGTACTCTGTTAGGTTGAACCCTGGTAAGTGCAGTGGTTACCTGCTTGCCTGTAACCACAACAAAGGGTCAACTGTACAAACCCACCAGCTCTTCCACCGACGAAAGATGTGTCAGCCTGTTTCCACTAAGATTCCAAATCCAACCCAAACGGACGGTCAGAGTGTCCATTCCAACTTTTAGTGACCCTATAGGACAGACCTGCCCCTGTAGGTATCTGAGGCCATCACTCTGTACTGTGGTGGAAAGCCTCATCTCTCTCCTACAGAGTGGCAGATGGTTTCAAACGACGGACCTTGTGATTAGAAGGCCTATGCATAACCACCACACCACCCGAGCTCTCGGTCCGGGAAGATGAGAGCCCTGAAAATCAGATGGGACGGTTATACTCTGTCCTATGGGGGTGTAGTGGTTACCAGTTAGGCTGTTAACCGCAAGGTCGGCAGTTTGAAGCCACCAGCCACTCAGCAGGAGAAAGGTGAGGCTTTTGCTCCTGTGAAGATGTACTGTCTCTGAAACCCACAGGGGCAGGTCTACTCTGTCCTATGGGGTGGCTGTGAGTTGGAATGGACGTGGTGACAGTGGGTTTGGATTTTGGGGTTTGGGAGTTCATCACAACCTCTGTTGTCTCAGGAGTTTACAGGAAGTCTGTTCTTACACAAAATAGCGCGGCAGCTATCCTCCCCGTCTTGGCTCAGGACACGCCCGGGTCAGCCTGGCGGACCCAGGATTGTCAAGGCGAGAGAAGCGGGGGAGTCTGGGGATCCTGCAGGCTTGCTTCATAAGCCCCCCTGGTGGCTGCCTCTCAACTCTCACTGGCCTAAACACATCCCCGGCTCATATCTACCTTCACAGATGCAATCTTCACATGGAAGGGGGTCAGGAATATTGGCGAGAGGAAAAGTGACTGTGTGTGTTTGAACACATTTCATCTTCAGAAAAACTTGAGAGCTAGTTCACTATAATCTAAATCTTACTAAATGAGGAAATTTCTATAATCCAAATCTTACCAAATGAGGAAACTGAAGCACAGAAAAAGAAAGTTGTTTGTGCCAGGTCACACAGCTAAAATTTAAACCCTAGTATCATGACTCAAAATATCTACTCTTCCCCTCTAGGCTACTCTTTCTCATATATCACTGATTTTCAATTTTCAATGGCAAAAACAGCTGGGGTGGGGGTTAAGGCTTAATAAAAAGGCCTATTCATTAATGCTGAGGTCTCCCCAAAGATTCTCTTTTGGCATCTGCATTGGGGACTAGTACCTGCATGTTTATCAAGCACCTCAGGTGAGCCTGGTGCTGGCCATTGGTGGACGAGGGCTTGAGGACCGCTGTCTTGAGACCATTCTGACTTCACAGTAGAAGAGAGGTTGGACGGAGCAATAGAGGAGAAGGAAACATTAGTTAAGCTGTGACAGTGGTCCGGTGACATGACGGAAGACTGACGTAAGCTAGTAGGGTTGCCTGAGCTTCCTCATCAACTGGGACTGGAAATGGGAAGAGGAAGGCATCTCAGATGATAACTGTTTCCATCCATCCATCCCCCTGGGGACTACAGATACAGAGGCAGGG